ACTTATTTCACTGGAGATGATTGTTCTTTTTTCAACTGATTCTAACAACAAATCTAGGATGGTAATGACGTCTTCAATTGGGGTATTTTGTATAGAACATGTTTTTAAAAGCAAATAGAATACAACATCGGTTGTTTTATTCCTATTTAATCGAGTAATATCCAATATGTCATAAATTTGTATTGAATGATTTATAAACAAAGCTTTAAATATTAATTGTCTGAGAACTTGAGGTTTATCAGGCACAGAGTTATCAGCATCAATCAATTTAATCAAACCAAGCTTATTGCCCCAAGATGAAGATAAAATGTGCCAAGTAATTTGACAACTTGCATGATCAAAGGGAAAGAGATATGGCATAAGTGATAAAAGGGTATCATGGTTCACCGGAAGATTATCTATTTTACACATTTTTAAAATAACTTGTTTGATTACAGGTTTCCATTGTTTAGATTGTTGGGATAATATGTGTGTGAAAACATCTGACAAGTCAACCTCATCAAGTATTTCATTTAAATCAGTATCAGGTATTGACAAAACTTCTCTAACAACACCTGGGTTGTCATCATGTAATCGATTAACAATTGAATCTTTAACAAACTCTTTGCTTTTAAGATGAAGTGATTTGAATTCTTTAGTAATAAATGTAACGGCTTCTCTTCGGATTTCAGGATTAGGATGATTTAAATTTTCAAATAGGTAAGCCCCACCAACCTTATGAGCAATAGCTGGATTGAATCCTAACACTTTAGAAAGGCAAGCTTTACGCAGTTTATTATCAGAGCTCATTTCTTTTTTTATTACTTTGTCAAATGCATCAGGATATTTACTTTCAAGGTCTTTGAAAAATATTGAATACCATTCTAGAAGCTTGCATGAGAAATCATTATCATCGCTTATAATTTCTAAATCACTGCCTTCATCATCAGCTGGTTGGGATTTATTTTGTGCTATCCAGGCATTAAGGACACATCTGAAAAATTCATAAGATAAAATTGTATGATTTACAGGTTATCAACAGTTTTTTATGTATATAATGTAACCTTCTTTTTAAGTTTTGATCAGAAACCACAGTTATTTTAATTTTGAAATTTAAAGAACACTGTTGCAACACCTTTATGCTTACTCACAGCCACTCTTAAATTCAAATAATTGGAATATAATGATAAATAATAAGTGTGTGTTTAATTGAATTTAAGATTTTATTTGAATGACCCAAGGTGTGATATACAAATTAAAAATGAAACAGATTCTTTACTTGTCTTCAGATGTAAATTACAAGCATATAATAAAATAAATAAAGTTTTTGCCTCGTTGATTATAATAATAAATTTATATGAACTTATTAGAATAAAAAACTTACTCAATTATCATCTGAGGCTGCTGACTTTTCAAATCCACTTGATCAATAAAGAATGTTGGAAGTTTTGAAAACACTATGAATTCTTCACTACTTAGCTGAATCTTACTTAACACTCCAGAGAGAAAAGCCAATATAAATGGTAAAATATTAATATTTCCTTGGCTTAGTATTTTCAAAAAACTACAAATAGTAGACAGTAAGTCTAGAGAAATGTTGTTTAAAAGGTCATCTGACATTTTTGTTATATGTTTTTGGTTAGTGTAAATAAGATTCATCAGTAAGACTACGTCTTGAGTGATTTCAAATTCTGAAGATAGAAGCTTATCCATTATTTCCTTTACCATCTTTTTCTTCAATTTTGCTTTAGTTGTTAAGAAGCCTAAAATTATATAGGCACTAGATCTAAAATCATCAATAGGTGATTCCAATGCGCTGATCAAAGTAGGTAATAATGCAGTCAATATAGCTTCAGAGATAGTTTGACAATTATGCATACAACCAATTGCAGTTGAGCAGAAAAATGCAAAAACTGTATTTAACTGTGTTGCCCTTTCCCCAAAATGAGCAACATATTTTAAAGTACTTTTAGCAATAAATTGTAAGGTACTGACATTAGACATGCATTGCTTGTGCAACACTAATTTTGACAAGGGAATACCATGTTGTTTAACAGGTTCTAGCCATTTCCATTTTTTTGAGCTACTGTCCATTATCTGCACAAATCTGATGAATATTTTTGTCTCATGGTAGGGAAGAATGAGTGCCATTATGGCATCTTGATTGTACTCATGGATGTGGTACCTATTAACTAGCCATTCTAAAGCTTTGTGGGAGGACTGTAGAAGCATGTATGGTGAAAGTTCTAGAAGAATCTTTTCAATAGTTTGATCCAAGTTAATATTTACTTCCTTAGTTTGCACAGCTCTTTCAAAGTCTTTGGAGGAAAGGCTAAATAGTGAATCCTCATACACGCGAAAACCTTCATACAATGCTATTAGTTCATGAAGACCGCTTAGACCAATTTCATAGAAAGTTTCACGATCTTTTAATGCAGCTTCTTTTGGGTCGAATAATAAAGACACACGCTTTTTATCATCTTTGTAGATAGAGGTTTGTGGTGTTGTTAACTTCTTCAACTGTTCACTTAGCGATGTCGAGGCCATTTTTAACTGCAGGATTTCTAAAAAAGACAAAATAACAATATAAATAAGCTTTTTGTAACCTAATAAACAAAGTGCTAAGTAACATACCCCGCAATTATATTGCAATACGATGTATTCTCATATGCAGCTTACCACCACCATCAAATAATTATTTTTTTATAATTATTCGTTTGAACTTTTCCTTTTCAGTTAAAACAAATATATGAATTTTAAATTTACTTGTTAAACTAGCACGTGCGCGGCTCGCACATTCTTATTTCGTAATTTAATAATTCATATTTTAGTGACTATTCTTGCTCGCAAGTGACAAATGATAATTGACTTGACGATGGCTACATGTCACTTGACAATTCTAGGGGGATGATGGCTTTAAATCAGCGAGCGCCCAATCACTAGCGCAGAGCGCTTCTCTACAGACAGAGGTAGTCACAAAACGTACAATATTACAATTTACAAGTTTGGATATATAAATTAGCTATTTGACAGTATGTGAAATAAAGTGTTATATATTAAAAATGGCTTTTGGCAAAAAATATTTTCACTGTCGTTTGATGTGTTTTTTTTATTATTTGTTATTTATCTTTAATTATATACACTTGTAGCAAGACAAAACTAAACAGAAAGTTGTCTTTGTTCAACTAAAACAAGGACTTATGACTAATTTAGTAGATATCTGACAATTTCTATATTATAATAAACATTAAACACTTTTCTTTTTCTAGCACTACAGCTGTGGTACACACGAAGTGATTATACTCTTTGGTATATAAAACTATAATTATTTATCTTTAGCATTATTTGATATTTCGTAGTACCAGCCTACCAGCGTAGCGCTGTCAAGATACAAAAAAAAAAAAAAAAAAAAAAAAAAAAAAAAAAAAAAAAAAAAAAAAAAAAAAAAAGGGGGGGGGGGGGAGGGGGGGGGGGGGGGGAAAAAAAAAAAAAACAAAAAAAAAAAAAAAAAAAAAAAAAAAAAAAAAAAAAAAAAAAAAAAAAAAAAAGGGGGAAAAAAAAAAAAAGGGGGAGAAAGGGGGGGGGGGGGGGGGGGGGGGGGGGGGGAAAGGGGGGGGGAAAAAAAAAAAAAAAAAAAAAAGGAAAAAAAAAAGGGGGGGGGGAAGGGAGGGGGGGGGGGGGGGGGGGGGGGGGGGGGGGGGGGGGGGAAAAAAAAGGGGGGGGGAAAATTTTTAAAGGGGGGGGGGGGAAAAAGAGGGGGGGGGAAAAAAAAAAAAAAAAAAAAAAAAAAAAAAAAAAAAAAAAAAAAAAAAAAAAAAAAAAAAAAAAAAAAAAAAAAAAAAAAAAAAAAAAAAAAAAAAAAAAAAAAAAAAAAAAAAGGAGAGAAAAAAAGGGTTTGAAAAAAAGGAAAAAAGGAAAAAAGAAAAAAAAAAAAAAAAAAAAAAAGGGGGGAAAAGGGGGAAGAAAAAAAGGGGGGAAAAAAAAAAAAAAAATAAATTTTTTTTTTTTATATTAATAAAAATAAAAATTAAATTTTTTTGGTTTTTTTTTGGAAAAAAAAAAAAAAAAAAAAAGGAAAAAAAAAAAAAAAAAAAAAAAAAAAAAAAAAAAAAGGGGGGGGGGGGGGGGGGGGGAAGGGGAGGAAGGGGGGAGGAGAAAGGGGGGAGGAAAAAAGGGAGAAAAAAAAAAAGGGGGGGGGGGGGGGGGGGGGGGGGGGAGGGAATTTTTTATTTTTTTTTTAAAAAAAAAAAATTTTAAATTTAAAAAAAAAAAAAAAGGGGGGGGATTTTTTGGGGGAATTGTTAAAAAAAAAAAAAAAAAAAAAAAAAAAAAGGGGGGGGGGGGGGGGGTTTGTTTTTTTTTTTTTTTTTTTTGTTTTTTTAAGTTTTGTTTTGTTTTTTTTTGGGGGGTGGGGGGGGGGGGGGGTGTGGGGGGGGGGGGGGAGTTTTTTTTTTTTTTTTTTGTGGGTTTTTGGGAAAGGGAAAAAAAAAAAAAAAAATTTTAGGTTTTTTTGTTGAAAAAGGAAAAAGAAAAAAAAAAGGGGAAAAAAAAAAAAAAAAAAAAAAAAAAAAATTTTTTTTTTTTTTTTTTTTTTTTTTTTTTTTTTTTTTTTTTTTTGGGGTGGGGGGGGGGTTTTTTTTTTTTTTAAAAAAAAAAAAAAAAGAGTTTTTTTTTTTTTTTTTTTTAATAAAAAAGGGGAAAAAAAAATTTGGGGGGGGGTTTTTGGGGGTGGGGGGGGGGGGGGGGGAAAAAGGGGTGGGGGGGGGGTTTTTCCTTTAGGTAATTGTGTTCTGGGGGGGGAGCGCTCTGGTACTTAGTTTGTATTAAGTAATTAGATTTTTTTCAAAATTCATTAATCAGTTTATTTTAATTTCATGAATCAATTTACTTAGTTAAGTTAGAAAACTGGCAAAGGACGTGTTCAAAATAACATAGTTGCGATTATTATTGGTGAAAATTAAATAATTTATCTCAGGGTTAAACAGTTGATTATTGATACAATTGGTTCGTTCTTTGTTCTGATGATGAGTTTTCAGCATCTTGTTGCGTTTTGGATGCTTTTTTGCTGCAGCTATGCATATAAACCAGTGGTTTTAATTCATGGAATTATGACGGGAAGTGGAAGTATGGAAATAATCTCTAGGAGAATTCAAGAGGTACTAAGTACTAAATAATTATTTATACAAAACCTTATTCAAGTGACGTGCGATATTTAAAGTTTTGGTTGACATCTTAACACATTTTATCTTAATAAAAAAAACAAATTTAAATAAATGCTAAGTTTTCTCAGAAACTATATTACAATAAAGTAGTAGTAAATTGTTACGATCCTTAGAAAGAGAATATTTTTTTGTCCGCTTATTCCAACATAATATTATTTCTCCTACTCCTATTAAATCCTATCCTATTTTCCATGTTTTCCAAATTAATATTAATTTATTTCATGTGGTTTAAATAAAAGTTTACTAATACATATTAGGATTACATTATTCCTAACACTTATTTTATTACTTACTACTACTCGATTTACAGAAACATCCTGGCACTAAAGTCTATAATGTTAATAGATTTGAGAGTTGGTCGAGTTTGGAAACCATGTGGCATCAAGTGTTGGAAATTGGTCAAGATGTAGCTAATATATCTAGTCATTATCCTGAAGGAATTAATCTAATTGGTAAAACAACTTACCTGATTCATATTATAATTTAAATGTGGTTTTCTGGTGTGTGCAAATACTGTTTTGGAAATTGGTTTTTAATAAAAATAAACATATTGGAGAAACATCAAACCTACCTCCTCACAGAGGGATTAGTATTAATATAATACTAATCCCTCTGTGAGGAATATTTTTAGTTCCTTTACAACAATTTTTATAAGTATTTTTTTTAAATATATACCAAAAGTCGCATAAGATATTGTTTACTCAATATTGAGACAGACCAAGCTGTTTGACATGGTAGAAACAAGGGACTCGGTACTCATGATAGACTTATAGACCATGCAAGTAATAACATTTTCTGTTAAAGACAATTTTGCAATGTTAGTTTCACAAAAACACTATGAAGTCACAATCATAAATATGAATCACTAAATGATCTCAATGGTATTGAAATGACCTTGTTTTGTAAATAATTTATCACTAATATACTATATAATTATCAAACATTTTTCCTTGGTTTAAATATGTACATAATATGTACTCTTAGTAAATAATTTTACAATAGGAAACATTACATATGTATTCATTTGATGTAACTACATGAAAATATATAATAATGGTACATGTATAGTGTACATGTACAGTCCAACAGTAACTACATATAAATTAAAAACTGATAATGTTTCCAAAATAGTAACTTTATTCTTATATTACATAATATTATAAAATTTGTCTTGTATATATTTCAATTTCACCATGAATAAGTTCACTAATGCCATAGGTTTTTATTTATTACTTTATTGTTATGATATTACTACACCTAACGCTGGCCATAGACGGACCGCATGTTGCAGTCGAGACCGACTGCTCTAGAGCGGTCGCGTTGAAGTCGTACACGACTGCAACACGACCGCATAATACAGTCGGCTACGACTGCTTGGAGCAGTTGTATTCGACCGCAAAATAATACTGATGCGAGTTTATTTACAAGATGGAATTCGATGAAGAAACACTGCTACTTGTACTATTTTTACGCAAGCGTAGGCGTAGAAGACACCCTAGTATGTGGGTGCGTCCAATACTACAATCAAGAGAACAACATGGAATATTTCATACTTTGTATCCCCAGCTGAGAGAAGACACTAAAATGTTTTTCAACTACTTTAGAATGTCCGTGGTTTCATTTGATGAATTAGTTAGTATTTTATTTGAGGGAGAGGCGCGCGGTCGGCAGCAACCGCTTGTAGCGGTCCGTGTATGGTGGGTCCGGCAGCTCTAAGCGGTCGCCGCACGGCGAACTGCAGTTTCCATACTAAATTTATATGCGCCATACACGGACCGCACGACCAGTTTCTGAGCGGTCGAGTTTCGCCGTGCGGTCGACTGCTTAGAGCTGCCGGACCCACCATACACGGACCGCTACAAGCGGTTGCTGCCGACCGCGCGCCTCTCCCTCAAATATGTGTCGGTATAACCGGTGTCGACTGCAAAATGCGGTCCGTCTATGGCCAGCGTAAACCTTTCATAATAGTAAATTTATGAATTCCAGGGTACTCCCAAGGAGGTCTTGTTGCTCGAGGTATTGTGCAAACATTCCCAAATGTCTCGGTGAGCACTTTTATATCTCTCAGCTCTCCCCAAGCCGGTCAGTATGGAGGTAAGATAGGTTTCAAAATATTATGGAATCTTAACGGCTGTGTTGCACACTGTGCAGTAACTTGTGAATGAGGCAATTCTTACCATTTTTTGGTTTTTCTTATATGATCTATTGTTTTAATTGGTAGGTAATTCTGTCATAGATGGGCTATGACACAGTCAATGAGTTCTGTGAGTTCAATGTCTATTTGTGTAATGTGATGATGATTAAAATTATTATCACTATTGTGTTAACAATAACTGCACATTCTCTATAATGTTTTTAACTAGCTATTTGTATGTATGTGATTGTGTATAATGTGGTGCAACCTTTTTAATAAAGGATTTTTTTTTCAAGAAATAATTGTTGAAAAAATGTGTTTTTCAGCTGGCTTCCTTCACGTCGTATTTCCTGGTTTAGTTAAGGAGTCGGCTTATGAATTATTCTACTCAAGAGTTGGTCAACACACATCTGTCGGGAACTACTGGAAGGACCCCTATCATCAAACGTTGTATGACGAATATAGTGTTTATCTGCCATATATTAATAATCATATCCTGTAAGTATTATCATATAATTATTTATTTTTAAGGTCTATTGTAGTGTATTTATATTTAATAACTGATCTCAACTATACATAGTTGCATTATCACCAGTTGGCGATATTTTTATAGCTCAAATTTGGTTTTAAAATGGTTTTTTTTTAAATTTATTTCTTGTTTTTGCGGTAAGATAAAGAATAAACGTTTTTCTTTATTTGATAGTGGAAATATGTACCTATTGAATTGAAATTTGGACATCCTTGACATCGGTTCCATGGTGTAATGGTTAGCACTCTGGACTCTGAATCCAGTGATCCGAGTTCAAATCTCGGTGAAACCTGAACTTTTTGTATTTTTCTGCGAACTAACATTAGTTGTTAAATCCAGGTCTGCAAAATCAAATGATTTTAAGAACAATATATTGAGTTTGAAGCGGCTTGTTTTAATTGGTGGACCAGATGATCAAGTTATTACTCCTTGGCAGAGCAGGTATTATTTATTATAAAGAGACAAACACCTCAACATCTACTATCAAAGACTCTAACATATTAATTTATACTTAAATTTCGTTAACGCAATCAATTCATAATGTTTTTTCCAAATATTTATTTAAATGAAAGGTTCGTGTGGAATGTAAAATATTTAAGTTTAATTTTATGTTTTTAAATTACAAAGAATTTTATTAACTAGATTTTTTACACTTATGTAAAAAAGTTTTTATTCAATTATATTTTTGTAGTCGGCTTTGGTAAAAATTGGCTTATTAAGTAGCCAAATGCCAACGTGCAAACATAAATAATGAAATAATTGGTTTATACTCTGATTCTTAATTCCGTAGAATTCTGACATTTCATTAGTGTTTCTACTAAATAAGTTCTCCATCCAAAAAAGGACAAATTTGACCCATTTGAAGGCAATAAAAATAAAATGCGACGTATTTTTCACGTTCTATCTACAAAAAGGTAAATCTAAATATTTACTTAGTCAAGTGAATACAGAAATAACAAATATTTCAGTATCACGAACAATATATCGAATTAAGTTTAATTACTTTATTTTATTCTTTAGCTGGCATCACTTCCAGGTTTAGTAAACCTTTAAAAAAAAATGTTATCTTTACTTTTGCGTTTTTTTACTGTTAGTGATGAAATGGGACGTAATTATCACTCACCGTAAACCCACCTTTAATGTGGACCACCGCACTTAATAAAATCGATACATTCACTTACAAATAAAATGTATGAATAGACTCAGATGTTCAGACTCGTATTGAAATGTGTGCCTGTAAAAAATGTGCCTGGCCAAATGATAGCTGCCAGAATTCTACGGAATTAAAAATCAGAGTATAGTATATACCATTTGCATAACCCAAACTATTGTATATAGGAATATACTATTAACATATTATGTAATAATCATTTAAAAAATATATTCTTTATCCGATCGAATATCACGGCATAGAAACGCTTTTAAATTCCAACGAACTTTCGATGATTTTTTATAAGTTCACACGTAAATTTTGATAATTAAAACCGTTTCATAAGTACATTACAAAAGTTTAACCATCAGTGTGAATGACTTGGCATAAACATAAATGTTTTTACAATTTCAGCCAATTCGGTTACTATGGAATGAACGAGACAGTGATAGAAATGCGTGAACAGGACATCTATATGTCGGACCGCATTGGCTTGCGAGCGCTCGACGAGAGCGGACGTCTTCATATCGTCACGGTGCCTGGTATTAATCATTTTGATTGGCACATGAATGTAAGCATTGTAGACGATTATTTATTACCGTATTTAGATTAATGAGATAAACGCCAAAATTAATATAAGAATCGACAAATAAATGCAAAGATTTTTGATACTTTGCATTTAACGAATAATCAGTGATTTTGAAGTTAGACATTTAGACGAATTTTGAAAAATTAATGTATTATATTTTGCTCATAAAATAGGAATTATTATCAAACCAATTTAGGTTTGTCTTTTAACAGTGACTAGAATTAGACTAACTTGTAACATAGTGCATATACGATGTAGAGATATTTGGGTAATATAGTTTAGGTAATTAAATGTGACGGGCGGAATACCCTAATTAGGTTTACAATTCGAAATGTATTTTTATATAATAGTTACGAATGTACAACAAGTTACAGTCAAAGATGTGACTAAAGGCATTAAAATGAAAAAATCCTAAAAAATTGCAGTTACATACAAAAATTCAAAATATGTATATATAAATGTATATGAATAATATTGTAATATTGTGGTAGATTTATTTGAGTACAACATATTTAATTAAATGTCTTTAACCACGATCTGAAAAGTACACGTAACGTCGAGTTATGTAAATCGGACAATACAGCATACACAATCCAAAATTACAAATGGTTCCTATTACATCTATTTACGTATAGTCAAACAAATAATTGCCAAAAAGTGAAGTGTAAATTTGCGTCAATTTAGTTCAGAGTTGATTTTAAACAGAAGATGATCCCAATTGTCAAATATGTCAATATAAAACAAAAATCTCTGAAAACTAGATTTGAATGCGAGTTGTCGTTTTAGAATACGGACCCAATATTTTACACATTGAAGTGAACGGGTATTTGGGTAAATAACCGCTAGGTGGCGCTATAATAAATGTCAAATGCACAGTCAATTAACATAGATGTCGCCTAAAACGTTGGATAAATAATTAAATGTCGTTCTTAAAAGTTTATTCACTTTTACAAAGAAAGCAATTCTTTAATAATTTCTTTGTAAGTTATTTTACTGCAATTGTGCCACATTTTACTGCAAAATAGAGTAAAATAGAATTGTACAAATAAATTATTTTATATGTAAAGAACTGTGTGATCAAAAACTTTAGATAATCATTATGAAAAATTGTTACCAACATCTCATTTATAAACGGATTATATATTGGGGCTTGTACCCAAATATTTGGTCAATAATTTTCTTTGAAAAAACATAAATCTGGTAATTCTTAAATTTGGGCATACTACGTATATGAATATTCTTAAATATACAATAATAATTATTTTTATATGGTTTTAGTTTTTATCTTTATCGTTTTATGCTAATCTCTTGTCACTAATACTCCTTTTTAACTGAATGTAAAAAATTATGTTAAAATTAATGGTCTGTGAAATTACAAGAATATAATAATGTATAGAAATGGACAATTGCTATTGAAAGTTAAAATTACGCTTTATATATGATGGAATCTCAATAACGTTTTATTTTTTATGAATATGTACTAATTTTTTTAATTAATATTCTAGATCAATTTAATATTGTCTATACAATTTTCAATTGTACATTACTATATCTTTAAATATAATATATTTTATATTTCTAAATAATTCTATATGTTTTTAAGTAAGACATCGTAAGACAAAGCATGGGCTGTATTTAGTATGTAAGTGAACTAGTCTATTTTAGAGAAATATACAATTTTTTACTGTAAAATACCAATTTTATTTATTTTAAACTAACTGCTTGCAATAACCCATAGAGGCGTTCCGTCCGCTTTTCCGAAATAAAAACCTTCCTCAGCGTTCAAGTAATAAATGAAAAATACTCGAATTAGTCCCGCCGTTAATGTTAAGCTATTCCAACTACAGTCTTTTATTTACCATATTATGGTATGCAGTGACAATACAAAATTTATACGCGACAGCCTAGAAATTAATCATCATCATCATCTGAGCAGGAAACGTTTAAAACGTTATAAACGTTGTGTGTTTAATTGCTGCAAAAGTGTATGAGTCTTTAAAATATATATTGTAACTGAAAATTTGATATTTTTTTACCTATATGGAGCAAAGGCTGTAATTATCTTTGGGATTATAATAATTCTCTTTTGAACGTATTGATGCTAATTAAAAATTTCTTTCCGTAACTTTTACAATGTGGACATTGATAGGATTGTTATTGCTTTGACCGCTGTTGACACCGCTGTGAGACTTTCTTTAAGCATTTGCATGAGGGTAAGATTTTGTACGTAATTGATGTACCTTGAAGTGTGCAGCCGTGTTGTCGAAAGAAAAGAACTGGGCGAGTAGACCCGATTGAGCACAGATTGAGAGCGGATAGTAGAAATCCGTCCGAAAACAAAGGACGAATTACCTATAAAATTATATATTTTAAAATTAAAGATCTTGGTCTACGAGCATAAAAAAGAGAATAGGTTAAGAAATCTTTGTATTTTATATTTTATGCAAAAGCCGACACCGTAATCCTTATTGAGGAAAATCTTTCAATATTGACGAATTGTAAATTAAAATGCCACAGTGTTTTTATCGAAGAAACAAATAAATAAAAGTAATGTTGTATTAATTTTCGACAACTTATTATTTTTTTGACAAGTTAAATTCCGTGCTACAGTGACAGGTAATTATCTTCCCTTTTCCAGACATCCCCCTAATCTTTGCGGAAATCTAAAGTTTTAGAATTTTCTATAAATATGAAGCCAAGACTTAAAAATTAATTTGGCGTCAAAGAATCTTCTCTTCTGACATGTGGATTGCTTTGTACGGACCTTAATTAACACAGATTTTTTAAACATATATACTCATTGAAAATTTGAGACAATTGAATCATCTTCAGACCAGTTTCTGATAATAAGATACGAATATCGTGACTGCTGATGATGAACTGTAGCTTAGATTTCGTTTAATAAGTTATTCGAAAATCTTACGCGTAATTATTCCTTAGGCAATGTGCTAAGCCATATACAGCCTAAGACTGACACAACGATTGATTCTACCAGTAATTCCAAACTATACAGTTTCTCTGGGTCAGATTCTGTTTAGGACACTAATTAGGGGAATAGAAGAACTCGTGAAAATTGTTTCTAATTAAAAATTTTTTAGATATTTATGCAATCAAAATAGTTTGCAAAAACGGCTAAAATGTTCATACAATAATAATATTCAAAATTTCAATTTAAAGGAATTGTCATATCTTTCTAAATAATCTATCGTAACTGTTTCACTGTAAATATATTGTCAAGATAGCAATTCTTATAAATACTCTTGGCATCGTTTCATAAGTCATAATTAAACTTTTCAGAATTCTATTGAGCGTGACAAAAATAAGCATTCTTCGTAAAAGCGATTTCCTTGTGTTTTTGCATTTCTTTGAGTCGATAAACAACTATGCGTACGCGCATGAGTCATGGCTTTCCTATCGTGGACGTTGACTTATTGAATTTTTGTGATTAACAAAGATTAATAGGTGGGAAAAGGGGTAATTTCGAGTAACTAAAAAAGTTTAAGAATACGCGTCTCTAGAAACATGATCGACGCTTTATTTTGTTAATAGATAAGTCTCTTTAATATGCGTTTTAACACAATTTTGTATGCAAAGTGAATTATGTATTAAAAGCGTTTAACTCATGATCAAATCAAAAAATCACTTGAAAAATTTAAATCCTTTGGATTTGATAGCACAGGAAGCTATTAAAGAAATTTGTACAATTCAGAGCCAAGTATGTCATCCGTATGTAAAAATCCAATACGTTATTTATATACTTAAACCTTGAAATGTATGAGATAAGAAGACCTTATCTAAGGAATATTTCAATCACAAAAGTATTTGTACTATTTGTAGATTATAATAAGGGTCAGAGTTATTGTAATTTCATCTTGGTTAAGGTTCAGTTAAAACATATAATTCTCTAATTTGGAATAATTATCAATTCGTAATACATAAACGATTGATCCCATTATGATAAAATATAAAAGTTTTAAAAGTACGAAATAAAAAAAACTTTTATGACGCCCACATACAGGATTACATTAAACTTATAATATCTCCTAAGAAAATAAACGCGTAAATAATAATAACATTGTCAATGAGCTTTTATTACTAAGGGACCTTCTGGTCCTTGTTCTTTGACCAGGCACCTGTCTGTCTGCACGTTTTTTGTTCTTTGCCTATAATCAGCGCGCGCCACTCAGTTATGTGTGACTCATGGCATTTCTTAGGCACAAGATTACATCAATTCGGTATTAGGTGCATGTGAGTCATGACTCATGTATATGATAATATTATATCACTGAAATTATATCTTGACTTAACATTTTATTCACTATTATCAATATTATGAAATTATTATATTATTGGGAAAAGTTCAAGTGTCCTCTATAGATTGCATCCTTTATTTTGTTTTTAATAACAGGGGGCAAACGGGCTCACCTGATGTTAAGTGATACCATCGCCCGTGGACACTCACATTGCCAGAAGGCACGCAAGAAAGTCGCCGGCTTTTGTGAATTGGTATGCTCTTTTCTTGAAGGACCCCAAGTCGAATTCGTTCGGCAATATTTCAGTGGGGTCATACTTTTTTATTTATAGTCCATAACAATTAAATAATAGAGTAGATATTTGTGTAAGATTCTCATTTGTATTATTAATAGGAAAGTGGACCAGTGTCCTCAAATTATAAAGGAGTTTCGCCAAATTGACTAAATCAGCCATGGAGGCTATTATATTTTTCATTTTCTATCGTAGTACTTCGCTCTTCACATAAAAAAGCTGGTGAAAATGTAACATCGAAGAGTTTATAACACGTGATATAATACGGCGTTAAAATATGAAGTTGTGAATCACATGGTCTAAGCATGTGATATAACAATCAAGATACTATTCTGATCTGTTATCTTTGACTTGATAAGAGTTTTTGGAATCTTGTCACTACAGGAAATCGGATATGGAGAAGGAAGTGCGACTATGAAATTGCTTTGTTGGTACGATTTCAAATGTTTCAAGAATTCGGAAGGATTCCAAGATACAAT